GGTGTTACTATTATTCCTTTGTTTGTAGAGGATTGATGATGATGACTAGTAGCTTGGATTTGTGAGCGATTGCATGAACTAGGGATTGTGGAATGTGTTGTTATGAGTGATTATGGACTAGGCGGATGCTTAAAGAACTAGGTTGCTAGTGTTCTTGAAACCTAGAAAACTAAAGAAAAACTCAAAAACTTAAGAAGCCCGAATCCTCTCTTTTCCTCTCTCTCTCTCTCAATCTCTCTTTGTCCCTTAATTCCTCCAATTCACCTTAATTTATAGCTAAACTCCACCGAATCCCTACCCTAGGATTGTATAACACCCCCAACCTAGGACTTAAAAGGTTGAGAATATTAACACTCGTTAACCCATATTCAAAGTGCAATGAATGCAACACAAGGCATCGTGACTTAATCTTCATGTCTAAAATGAAATCTATGTTTTAAAAATTTAATATTAGCTAGGTAGGTCCTATACTTTAACTTAAAAGACATTATAAATTTTTTACGTTTGATCGATTTACTCGGATACTTGAAACTGGATTCGAGGATATTTACTAGTTCAAATCCTTTCTTTACTAACTAGTATAATTCATTGAGATGTAGTTCCTTATTATCAATTATTATGATATTAATTATTCTCTTTCATTTTTACTATTCTTTTTATTTAATGATTAATTAAGAGACTCTCCCGAATATTCAAGGATACTAGCATGCAATGGGCAATTTAAAGTAACTACATTACTATGAGTACATTATCATTTTACTATCAGTATTACGGTTCATACGAGTTACTAATTTACATACAAAACTAAGTATGTCCACCTAGATCCCGAAGCCCCATCCAAGGTATAACCGTTTGATGCACTCCTTAGAAATCAGCTCCGTAGAGAAGCAAGCCATAGTATCTTATTAATCTACACCACAAGGAACTATATGAGCTACGACTCAATAAGTTAACGTATGCATGTAGTGTACGTGCATGCGGATGCATGTATAAAATACCGATATATACATAATAAATCATTTTTCTCATGTCATAAACCATTTCATAAACAGATCTGAAAAATCCTTTTTCCGTCTTTGGACATGTCCCATTTAGGTACTTCGTGGTTTCCATAACATATGTTTGACGAACTAGACCCATCCACGAGATGTGCCCTATCGAGCCTCTAAAAGTGCACGTCCGCACTTGCCCGGTCCTAAACCATTACCATTACTATATGAAAAACTCATGAAGCCCATTCTCATAAAACTCCTCAAAGTCATGAAAATCCTTTTCTTTAAAATACTTTCGATCGCTATCGAAAACTCATAGCATAAAATACGTTTCCATGATTAAAACATTATTCATGAGCTTTGGCATGCATATACATTTTGAATGACAATGTATGCCGACAATGATACTCAAGTACATATCCTAACTGGTCGTGTAACCATGTTATGAAAACATGAATAAAATCGAACAACATAACGACATAAATAACATCAATCCGTATCAAGCAAGTACAATCATCATTGGCGCGTCGATTACCATAACCATAATTCTTATTACCAATCACAACTCAAGCATAACCATCATTCATTAATCATGGCATCACATACATTATTGGAAAGAAAATAAAATCATAACACAAAAGTAAGTAAGTAATTATATTTCATTTTAGTTTCATTGATTTACTTTACATTTTAACATGTCTAAGTTATTTTCCTTATGCTCCTAACTACCCTTTCGCATCTAACATTTACCAAATTAGGTACTAATCCATGTTCTAACTTAATTAAGTATTATTTCATTGATTACGTAGTCCAATTTTAGTTTGGGCCTTAATAGGCTCAAGGTCTAATTTTTCCTAAATTAATTTTTCTTTAGATTTTCATAAACACTTTTATTCTAAACCATCCTTTTACATTATCTTGAGCATGAATGAACCGATTTAGGGTATGAAACTTAAAGAGTGACTTTTAGGTGATCGATGAATTAGACGGGCAGAGACACACCCGTGTGAGAGACCATGTAACTCTCTCGCCTTTAAGAAAAACACATTTCTTCATTACACGAGCAAGGACACACCCGTGTGAGAGGTCGTGTAACTCTCTACCTTTAAGAAAAACACATTTCTTCATTACATGAGCAAGGACACACTAGTGTGAGAGGCCGTGTAACCCTCCGACTTAAAAAAAAAACACATTTCTTCATTACACGAGAAAGGACACACTCGTTTGGGAGGCCGTGTAACCCTCTCGACTTCAAGAAAAACATATTTCTTCATTACACGGCCAGGACACACCCGTGTGGGAGGCCATGTAACCCTTTGACTTCAAGAAAAACACATTTCTTCATTACACGGGGCAATGACACATCTATGTGGAAGGCTATGTAACTCTCGACTTCAAGAAACACATATTTCTTCATTACCCATTTTCTTCAATTTTTAGCGAATTTTTCATTTCTACTTATCAAAACATGATTATTCAAGTGTGAATGACCCATCAAACTAGAATCAAATTACTTTGAACTCAAACCTTAATTTGCTTAGTTTAGGCCGGATATAATCCCAAAAATTTTTGGATTTTTCTTCAATTAAAGTATAATTTTTCCTTCCTAAACATTAATTCATACTTAAATAAGTCGAATCAAGTGCCAAAACACCAATTAAATGAAAGAATTCAAAACCCGTAAATTGGGTTCATCAAAAACCATAACCCTAATTTTTCTTAATTGAGCAATTAAATCAAATCAAGCAATTAAACATGAAATTGACTTGAAATTAAGCATCCTTGTGGTGTAGGTGAGGTTAACTTACATGATTAAGCTCCAAATTAACCTTAAAAAGATAGGTTGCTTGAAAATCCTCTTCCTCCCTTTTTTCCTCCTAAACTTGAATTAGCTCTTTTACTTTTCTTCTTGAAGATATTCAGCTCCCAACTCAAAATTGAAACTTAATCCACTGATTTAGAGAGTCTAAAATTGATTAGGATTATTTGGATAATTTTTTAGTGGAAATTTTGTAAGTCTCTCCTTTGTGTTTTTCAATTTTTCCTCCCCTTTTTATTTTTTCAGCACCACTATTTATATGAAATTTTGTGGAATCATTGGCCTCATCTCCACCCTTAATGTAGGAAAATCTCAGCCTTTAATTCAATTTCCAATCATTCATTTCCATTTGTCCTAATTTTTAGCCATTTATTCATCTTTTTATTTAACCCTTCCACCTTGCTTATTTTTTACCATAATTTTTACTGAAATTCATACTTAATTAATGCTCTAGGTCGGCCAAAGTTGGAAGGAAAATGACAAATTTTGGTCCTCAAAGTTTCTAGAATTTTCCATAGCCTATTCTTTCCTAAATCCCTCTTTTATGCAAAAACTCACTTCTAATCCTCCCTTTTCCATTTATATGACTAATGTTTGACCCTTAACATTATTACATAATTAAATTTGGATTATTAAACTTTTAATTTTATGCAATTGAGTCCCTAATTTTATGCAATTTAGTACCTACTTTTATGATTCCGTACTATACTCTTCAAAAATCCAATTTATTTTCATAATAAATTAAAATATTTATTAAGGTATTGTATTTTAAATTTTCATAACTTTTGGACCTCATTTGAGCCTCCAAATTAATTATTGAGTGTGAAAATCACATTGTTTTTTTATTAAAAATATTCCCTATACTTAATAAAATTAATTTAAATTTTCTAGGAACTCTCACACCTCCCATATGATTATTCTATGCTCTTAAAAAAATTCCTCATATTCTTAAGGTGCTGAATTAAATTCTTTTCCTCTAAAAATACTATTCCAACACATCAAAATTCAAATAAAATATTCATAGCACATAATAAAATTCACCCATGTACATAAAATAATTCAAAACCCCTCTAAAAATTATTCTAAGCACACAAACTATTTTTCATGCTTAAACAACGTGCTTTAATTAGTTATTTCATGTAAAAACTACTATTCATGCATCGTAAAATCAATAAAATATTAATTGGGCATAAAATGACTATTTTATCTACTTTGAATATTTTCTCTAATCTTTATGAACTACTTTATATCTTCAAAATATATCTCATATGTTTTTAATAGTTAATATTTATTTAATTTTAGTTTTAGCGAGTACCGATCATTACGGATTGTTCCCTAAATGATTGAAACCCTTAATTGCTAAAGCCAAAGAACACGTTTCTAGTGCTCTTGGCTTCTTGTGTATAGAATTTTGAAATTGAAAAGCAGTTTGTGCAATGTTGTGGATTGTAGTGGTGGCGTTATGGTGCGGGTGAGTGGTACGAGGCACGAATCCCGACTCGTTACAACTCGCTAGTCATGAATTTTTGGCATTGATCGAATTTGTCTTTTTCGAGTATAAGACGATGAACATTATGGGTTGGAGATGATTTATGAGTTGAAGCGAATGACAGGTCACACGGTTAATTTTTGGTCTTCTCGTTTGCTCCCCAATTTCAATTTAGCCCTCGTGCATTTCGGATCTTCCCCAATTAGGTCCTTTACGCATGCAATTTTGGTCCTTCGTTCTTTCATTTTTTTCAATTGGATCCTTGTATCTTTAATTTCAGTTCTAGGGTTTTCAATTGCATCCTTAATTGTTTCAATTTCAGTTGTGTTTGTATTCAACGATGCTTATAATGTAATTATTATTATTTTTTTTGTATTTTTTGTATTTTTTTGTAGTAAATACTGAAACTAAATAAATAAATAAATAAATAAGGATAATAATAAAAATAAAATAAAAGATAAAAAATTTAAAATGGATAAAATTAAAGAAAAATTTATGACTCAGAATTTGAGTTATGATAATATTTTTGATTTTGCTAACTCTTGAAGGTGGCCATAGAGATTGGTGTGGTGCTGGAGGAGGTGGTGGTGGTAGCATGTTGGTACAATTTTTTATTCATTTCTAAGGGGTTAGGCGAGTAGCATAAGCAAAAATAGCAGAAACAAGGAGCGTTGTGGCATTGAAAGGAGGATCAGTTGAGATGGGTTTCAACGGAGTAATATCTTTTGGTATCTGGTTTGCTTGAAACTTGCTATGTTTTCTTGCTTGGGTTATTTTCATGGTAGTGTAGGTGCAGTTTTATTGTAGTCTGATTTGTTTCTCCTTGTTAGGGCTTGATGTTTTTGTGGATTTATTAATGAAACATACTTGATTCAAATTTTATTTTATTTTATTAATTTTATAGGTATTTTTAATTTATTTTTTTATGACAGGATGGGCTTCCTTTTGAAGTAGACCCGCTCGAATTGGTTTCGCAAGCTCAACCTACTCAACTTGGGCCCGAATTTGGCCGTGATCGAACGAGTTTGAGCACATCATTATTAGGCCCTCTTCTAAGAACTCGTTATAAATCAGGGGAAATTGCAAACTCAATCTATTTCAGTCTTACCTACCCCATTTCATTGCATGGCTTCAATGAGTTTCAAACCTTTTTTTTTTTTTTTTTTTTTTCAATATTTTGAAAGTTCGAGGTTTGGGATGGATGTTTTGGAATAACTATAATGTAGATTCCTTGTTCATTTTAGTTTTATATTCCTTTTTTTCTATTTGTGCGCATGTTGGAGGTTTGACGATACACTATTTGTTTTCTTCATTTGTGTACCTTAAGAAAATTCTTAGCCAAGCCAGTGTTTTTATTAATGGCAATGAGTTGACCTATCTTCTGCGTTAGATGCAACATGTAATGATGAGAAACAACAAAGTGTGTAAAAATATTAAATACAACCTGTTATGTTATTGGCCCTTTTTTTCCCCTCATTCTCTTAGGTTGACATTATGATCCTCAGCCAGTGGGAATGTGATCACTCTATGTGTGACAGCCAATTTTTTCAGCTAGGGCAAACTTAAAGTTTTTCTTTCCTCGGCATGTGACTATTGATTAGGTGAACTGTATAACAATAGGGATGTTTGACAGTGATATGGAGAGAGTGTCACGGTCTAAGAGAGGTGTGAATATAGGCCAAGAGAGTTAGGTAGATGCAACATGGGTTTTTGCCTGCTGGCCTTCTAGATGCAAATGCAACTCTCATTTCCCTTTCTCTTCTTGTCAATAGTTTTACACAACTTCGAAGTAAAAACCCTATGGAAAAGACTGAAATTAGATCCATGAATTGATGGCCAGAGACAAAGGTAGTTGTGGTTTCTAACGTCATCAAGCCTACCAACTTCTACCCACCTATACCTTTCATTTTCTTAATGCCATGGCATGTCCCTTTGCAGCTGCTTGTGCTTATCCTTTCGGTTTCGAGTTCTCATACTGTGTATATTTAGCTTGCTTCTCCCCGCTGATGACAAAATCTTCTAACACCGCTTACCAAAATGGAAATTCATGCACGACTTCTTACAATTTAGTTTTCCAGCTATGGTTTGTTTCTGAGAATTTTCTTAAACAATTACTAGGCTAAAATATCAACTTAATTATCTCAAGTCAAGCAAACATCGACATCATGACTTCAAAGTCATTAAATTAGAATAAAATCAATCAGAACGGACTTATTTTCTTATTTTCTTTTTATCTGATAGAAGGTTCCATGCTCATCCAGTTCTCCAGAATTGAAATGGTACTCCACGCTCTCTCGCCAAATTCTCACTCCACCTCTCCTAGTATTTAAATTTATGGTAAAAAGATGAATATATCCTTATCTAATAATCAGAATTTTCAATATATTTTTATATGTTTAATTATATCAATTATTTTTAAATAATGTTTAAGACTTCAATATGTATTTTAGATCATAAATAATTTTTTTGAACTGAAATGCTTATAATTGAAATGTAATAAAAAAAAAAAAATTTAAAGTCCCCTGAGTTACATGTTTCGTTTTTTAAATCTTTATTATTATTATTATTATTATTATTATTATTATTTGCATATCAATAAAAATTTGCTCATATTTTTTTAAAAAAATATTAGAACGACAGATTAAAAAATTAAATATTATTTAAAAAATATAATAAATATAATTAGAAACATATAGATATATTAAAAGATTTAAGCCATTAAATATATTGAACTGTTTACCCTTGAATTTTTTAAAAAATCAAGTTTTAACATCAAGCATCTATAAATATTATGATTATTATATTTTTAATAATCATAGGTTCTCTTTATTTCTCTTGTCCTAACAAAATACTTCCCCGGAAACTTTAGCTTCGGCTGCGGTCGGTTGCTTTTAGCCGGTGACAACTCTTTTTTTATCATTTGATTATATATATATATAGATGAGATATTTTCTCATCTTTATGTTTATTTCCTACCATAAAAGCCTGTTATTTTCAAATTTGATTTGTAGATTCTCTCTTTGAATAAGATTTTATATGTCCCGATTTGGGAAATTAGATTCTTAAAATAAAAGTTTTGAAATTTCATCTAATTTTCTAAAATAAATTGATATCTATTGACAATATTCGAAGACTCAAATCTTCCGTTAATAGGCCTGGTAGGTAGTACAATTTATTATTTTATTAATTTATAATAGCAATAGATTCATCTGCATGGTGCGTCATTTAGGGAAAACAAAATCACGTTAGAAAATTCTAATTTAAAAAGTTCAAGATATCTCTATAACTAGGTTTTTGACACAACCACATATATATATATATATATATATATACACACACACAAGAGATATTGAGATATTAATTTATTTTTCAATCAATTTTATATTAATAAAATTATTGTTTTTTCGAGGAAAAAAAAATCAGTTACCCGTCAATTGTCGCTGCTTTTGCTCTAGCAAGTGGCATGCATATATCTTGACAAGAAAGGCTCAGCACAATGTGAACTTATATATGCCATTGCCACCTCTACATAGTTTTGATAGATAAAATCAATCAACAGTGTAGACTAAGCACTTTATAGATTGATTCTTTTCTTCCGATCGCAAGCTTATTCCATAAGGGGTTGACATTGATGGTGTCACAAGAAAAAAGAAACAAAAGGGAAGGTGTGGGTAACGTGTGCAAGCCTTTCTTTTTTTTGATCTTCTAGATGATATTTTCATCTACTTTCTCATCATCCTCTTTTGGCCTAATATCATATATATCCAACTGATGTCACCTAAATAAATGGTGGCGGTAAAATGAAAGAGAAATGTTCATGGACAAACAAGAAAGGGGCCAAAATGTAGACCCCAGGAATTGATGACAAGGGACAGAGGTTGTTGCGATTTCTAACATCACTTGTCTACCAACCTCCACCCACCTCTTCATCTCTTTGTCTTGCTATAGTAGCTTAACAGGTAGGAGTTTATCTATTTTGAAGTTCTTATCATGTTCAATTTGTCCCCACTGGACCCACAATTACATGAGCTAGCCATCTGCTGGCTGCTACAAATTTTGCTATTTCATAGTTTGAAATGAAGAAAATAAATCTTTCCTTTTGACGAATTTTGGGTAAATTTGCTTTAATTGAATGAAAATACAACTAGGGTTCTGCAAAAGCCATTTTCCGATTAAACAACGTAACTCTTTTTTCTTTTTCCTTTTTGTTGGTTACAAGACTCGATTAGATGTTCTATAACAATTAAGCTATCCATCCATCCATGAGTCATTATTAATTGCACAACAAGAGTAATTTCTGTCATTCTCTATGAGTAATGATTAAAAAATTAATTAATATCCCAATACAAATATAACAATAATAATAAAAAAAACAATCAATGCATGCTAATTCTTGCATTCCAACTTAGCATCATCAAGTTAAAAAATCGAACAAAAACATAGATATAAAATTTTCATTTTTACAGAAAAACATGAGTGTCTTATCACAGTAAAAATGAATATATTCAGTTAAAAAAAATTATAATCACAATACTGAATTTATACTCTCTCTCTCTCTCTCTCTATATATATATATATATATATCTCGTTATGTTTTAATCCTTGTATTATGACAGACAGCTTATATCTTTTAAACGTGTAAGCATCCAATACTCTCTCGGTAGACAAACCAACCCTAACCTTAATAAAACTTCAAAGGCTAAATGTCAATTGTCAATTAGTTTCTCCAGTTTGACGGCCAAAAGTATTTTTAAATTAACTTCATATATCAAAACAAAATCCACTAATATGAGATGATAAAAATTGGATCCATGTAAATTATATCTTTAATTATATTAAGTTGTAAAAATTAATATGGATGAAAAACTCACAATATAAAACGTTATAAAAAATTAACATGACGATATTATTAATTAATTAGTGAACGAAGGTTAAGGTAACAATGAATCTATGAGTAATTTCTATCATTCTCTATGAGTAATAATTAAAAAATTAATTAATACCTCAATTCAAATATAACAATTAAAAAACAAAATGAATGCATACTAGTTCTTGCATTCCAACTTAGCATCATTCAGTTAAAAAATCAAACAATAACATAGATATAAAATTCTTATTTTTACAGAAAAAGATGAGTGTCTTGTCACAGTGAAAATAAGTATAGTTTAATTAAAAAAATTTATAATCACAGAACTGAATTTATACTCTCTCTCTCTATATATATATATATATGTATGTCTATCTCGTTATGTTTTATTCATTGTATTATGACAGACAGCTTATATCTTTTAAACGTGTAAGCATCCAATACTCTCCCGGTAGACAAACCAACCCTAACCTTAATAAAACTTCAAAGGCTAAATGTCAATTGTTATGTATTGAGAAAAAGAAGAACCCCTGCTACTTGGATTACGGGAATTGCTTCCTTCTACACTACAGCTAGATAGTCTCACGTGGAATAATGGCCTCGTTGACTTAAATTGCATACATAATTTGCACGTTTAAGGTATCATCTATTGTATCCAAGGTCAAAAGGTCACTAATCAAAAGAATATACAGAAGTATCAATTTTCTTAGGATTAATTCTATTAAATTTATTTTTGAATGAAAATTTACTGCTATTGTCATTATAGGGTTATGATATGAATACGTTCATTTATTACTACCTATCTACTATTAATGCATGTTTAAAACATTTTTTTGTTTTTTTTTTGTTTTTTCAAGATATTTTTATTTTATGTTAAAGATAAGATTAATTATGTTTAAAATGAGAACAATAAAATTTAATTTCTTTCAATTAATATGATTTTAAAATTCAAATCTTATATATTATATATGAGAAATTTATCTAGAGAATAACTGGTTTGCGACTTACCTAACAATTGGTAATGTCTTGTTTTCTTATTAATTAATGTAGAAAGGTTTGTCTACATGCAATGAGCTGAGCAAATTAAGCTTAAGATACATAGAAGTATCAAATATGATCTTAATTTAGTTTTGTGAAAGTTGAGCTGTAACAGTTGAGCTCTGGCTATGTTGCATTGCTTCTACCATGTGCCTAAGCTATATGTCTATAAGGTAGGGTGTCGTGTATATTCTACAGAAATTTGACTTTGTCTACTTCTTTCTTTCCTTATCATATGTGAAGGTATAAACATTAAGGGACTTCACTTGATCTATATCTCTAGATGGCTTGCTTAACTTTTCCATTTGAAATTTTGGTATATATGAAGTTTATTTTCTGTTTTAATGTTATAATTAAGAAACAATTGGTTGTTGCTCCGAACTTCAAACAAAAATTAAAAAAAAAAAAGGATTAGTTAGTTATCCAATAGGGGCAAGAGTGAGAAGCTACAACCTAATTAAAGGAGTTTTAAATCTTTTATAATTCTAGTAATGTTTTGTATTCTAAACACTTTTCCTACCCTCTCTCTCGTTTGATAAGCAAAGAGAAGGCAAACAGACAATGCAGAAAGAGATGCACGCAAGAAAGGAAGCTAATATATATATATATATATATGTATATGTATATGTATATGTATAGATATATTATGGCAGACAAAAAACTCTTTTCATCCATCAACTGTCATGCAGAGTTTGATAGTTACCTAAAGCAAAAGGGTGCCTCGTGCTCGTAGGTATGCTTTAATGTTGCTTGTCTCCAGATTGGGCTTGCAAGGGCAAGAAAAGAGAAAACACCTGACCACGTGTACCAACCAACGTGGGCAATGAATGGATGTGCATGAAAATGAATTGTATTCTTATTCTTTACACATCAACAACACCATTCTACTTGAAGAAGTTACACATACCTAAGCGTTACTAAACAACTCTTTGTATTCGTATTAAAGTAAGCTTAGCTAGCAAAAAGCATTGGGTACTTGCACCCCAACTGGACATTTTGTTTAAAGAAAATGGGGGGCCACATTTGTTTAGTTGGCTAAAATCAAATTCCCATTAATGCAGGAATCCCATACCTCACTGTATGGGCACATGACTCTCTTATGAGTTGCGACTCCTCCCCACCCCCACCACCACCAAACTCTAACTAACCAAAACTGTTCTCCTCTTTTCCTCACAATTTCCCATTATTTTAATCTTAGATTCGGTTACCTACCTCCCAAACATGTCACATGTTCTTTCGTCTCTCTCTCCAATAAGTGAGATCTATTGGGTTCCGAAATTCCATGTCACATGGAGTACTTAAACTATGTTGATTAATTAGTTTTAAGCTACTGCTGCCAGGAGGTTTGGTTATTCGTGATCATGGGATATGTCATATGTAGTATGACCTCTCTTTTGTCAACGGACCAACATAGGTGTTGTGTAAAAGTTTTATTTTTTAGGTTTATTTTTGGATAAATTTTAATGTAAGTTTTCTTTGGATATTATTAAAAAAACACTGAAAAAGATTTCGGATATTTTAAAAATAAATTTATAAAAAAAATCAAATCCTAAATTTAATACTATAGTATGCACAAATGATATGATGGGCCAATCACTTACTAGCTTGAATCTCACACATGACACAAGCTTGACAACATATAGTAACAAATTATGTGTCTAGTTAAATGAATTGGTGCTTTAGGTGGAGAGAGATCCGGCATGGTTTGTGGACCAGGTAATGAGATTCATACAAACACGTGGCTTATGATTATGATATAAGCAAATTATAAACTAATTACAGTCCCAATAATGGTTGGTAGGACTACTAGGCTGCTATTGCTATGGCATTTTTTTCTCTTTGGACCTATTAAGGTTCTAGAAGTAGAAACTAAACAACGGTCGGTCTAGATCGGAAGAACACAAGCAACTCGCATATTTATATTCTCAAATTTACTAGGTTGTTGGCCTCATAACACAATTAATTATTCGTGCAAGCAAAAAGCCACAAACATACGGTATAAATCAGATTTAGATTTATCTCATATTTGAAATTTGTATTCTTCAATTTTTTTATTGAAAATTTTTATTTATTTTTATCTTGATTGAAACTCTTTATTTTAACGTCATCAATTACCGATCGATATATTATTTTTATTTATCGAGGTTTTTTATTTTATAATATTACGTATTGATTATTGATTAATAATATTATAATAGAAGATTTGAAATAAGAAAAATCAGAACACAAAGAGTTTCAATTAAATTAAAATAATACATATAACCTAATTAATTTTTGTGTTTAGTGTAGGCATGACAATTTCGGTCTTCGTTTCTATCTATTTTTCTTCTTTTGAAAAAAAAACAAAGCGTCTTCTATCTTTTAAGAGATTTTGGATTTGAAATTTAAAGTCTTTTTTTTCATTAAAATCATAAAATCAATTCATCATACATGCTTTTCGCTCATCTACTAACTACAAATTTCTAATCACTAAAGGAGCTAATTGGTTGAGTTTATTGCGCAATGTTAAATTGTAATATTTCATTGCTTGTATAACTGATAATAATATGATCAATTGCAATTAGACGAGTTTAATTAGTTAAGATTTTAAACTACAGGCATGATGCTCTTAGTTTCTCCCATTGACGGCCAAAAGTATTTTTAAATTAGCTTTACGCGTTAAAACGAAATCCACTAATATGATATGGTAAAAATTGGATGAACGCAAATTCTATTTCCAATTATGTTAAGTTGTGAAGAAGATTGATATGGATGAAGGCTCACTATATAAGACGTTATGAAAAGTCAGCATGACGATTTTGTTATTTAGTTAGCAAGTAGAGGTCAAGGTGATAGAGATCCTTACGAGGGCTCAAGAATGAAGCCTTCGAAAGGTTTACATAATATTGAACCATATGTATAAGTCCGTTATTATTATTATTTTTTTTTATAAATTTGGTTGTCCACATTATAAATAGAGGCAATATCACTCGTATAGGTAGTTATCACTTGACAAAACTTAATAAAAAATCTTAATACGATTGTAGAGTACGTATTATTATCGAACCACGTAAAGTTTTTGTGATGTGTGATTGTTCATATTTTTTGTATTTTATTTTTTTACTTGATTTGTTTCCTATCAAATTATATATTTTCATTTTAATAATTCCAACGACTATTCTTTTTCTCATGTATCTAAAATAATTGAATTAATTACATAATAAGCTAGAAGCAACACTTTCTTCTCTTGACACTTTCGTGTTATGGGTGGAGGTATGAATTTCGTGTTAATTTTCTGAATTAAGCTTTTGACCATTTACATTAATTGGACTTTGGTGGGCAATGGAAGGTCTAGTTAGGTGAGTTGGGTCCATTGAAATTACGAGGAATTCTCCTCTAAACTAAAAGCAAGTCCCAAATCCGGTTGAAAAAAAAAAAATTGTTTTCCAGGCGACTCAATATATCTAATTATTAGTTAGAAAATTACTTGCCATCCCGTCCAAGTTCAACTTCGAAAATTCCAAGTACTTGGGTTAAATAACATAATTGACCCAATTAAAGTTCAAAATTATCCATAGATTAAGAAAATTTTCTTCAAATCGAATTTGGAAACTAATATCTAATTCTTTGGTTTCTTATTCAATACGCAGCCATGATGTCAAAGGAAATAGATTGCTTGATTAATTTCTCCTATTTTGTTAAAGATCTAGCAAAGTCTACAAAACGAAAAATGTTGCGTGCTTTTGAACCTACAAATATGGCTTGCATGATCATATAATAAATCACCTTATTCACCATAAAGTGAAAAAAATTTTTATATAAAGTTAGTTTATTGTTCAATTTATCTACATGATCAAGAATTCTTTGTCAATTGGATTGTTTATTGATGAACTCAAAAAAAATATATATATTCAAATTAAGAAACGCTAAGGTGGGTAAAATTGTAGAAAACTATCTTTGCTAGCTCCAATAGTTGCCGGTTTACAGAATGGTGGTTCACTCACGCAAGAGATGAATTACAAACGTAATACGCGTGGTGTAGCAGGGAACATGAACCAAATGGGAATGAAATTTTTTTAAAATTATTATTAATTTAACTAATTAAGCCCATTGGAAGATTAATTGAATTTGGATTTTGACTTATGATTTGACATCATGATTTTAAAAGAGTGCTTGACTATATATTCGGTGGAATTTAGTTCATATTATTTTTAAATATTTTTTTACATATTGATATCTATAAATGGAAGCTCAGAGAAAATCTAGTACTGGGGGTTCTCGAGAACACGTCAATAACAAGTCAGCAAACCAATGAAAATACAATGAGTTAATTTTGTGACTTGTAGAAAGAGTGACACATCAATCAAGTAAGATAAGTACAAAATAATGAACAAGATTGAATGAAGAATAGACCCTGTTAGTAATACACAAATTAAATGACAAGCAAATGGATTTTCAAAATTTAAACAAAATAGAAGTTTAGGATGTTTTCTTATATAAAAATAAGAGAACAATGGAAGGCAGTTCAAAAGTTTGGCTAAAGGAGCAAAATAATCTAAATCTCTGCTGCACATTTAATATGAGGTTGATATATACAGTAAAAAAAAAAACTTTTAACCGTTATCTGTCATGATATATAAGTTTGGATGATAAGATTTGAACCACACAAAGAAAATAGGTTCAAAAAGACAATTATCTATTTTTGGCTAAATTGCTTCAATTTGTTAAAAAAATGTTAAAAATTAACAATTAAACCTTATTTTAGCATATCTTGTTTCTAGCCTACCGATCCAATTTTCTTAATGTATCTCAAAAAATAAGTATGGATACTGGTTCTAGCAAAGTATCTGTGTCCATTCCTATACAACACAATCCTCTTACTAAGCAAATCTCATTATTAGTTCAAGGCTTACTGTATCAAAAAATCATGAGTTTTATACTTTTTAATCATATTAGCGTTTTTTTTAATATTGAACAGAAAAGACATGAATTAAGTTTCTAGTAACTATATTAGCACATGTGAATTTTTTCTACTTAAATCTTTTTTTCGGCTGATGTGATGTGGAAGATAAAATGATAGAATGACATAAATGCTATATAGGATTTCTTGTCAGCCAAACATACCCTAACTCGCTTCCCAAACCCGTGTAACCCACGACATGTATAACCTGCGACTAGGACCCATGATGTCCTTCACTTTTCAACCAAATTGAAGGCCAAAACCACCATAGAACTGTTTCCCACACCTCCATCGACCTTCCTCGATGAGTTAGAGTGGAGGAAAGCGTCGGAATAAGCCTAAAAAAGGGGTCAACTATTGCAAAATCTAAGAGTGTACATATTTGATTTTGTAATGTTTCAACCAAATCGAATCTCGAAATGGATAAAATTGATCAGAGAAGGAGGAGAATGAAATGATTGGCGAGTCGTGGGTTCTTCCTCCTATCGTTTTCCATTACTAACACAGGAGGAGAAAGAATACTGGGACGATGATGTGCTTTTCTATCGAGGTTTCAACCTCTGATTTGGCCCAAAAGCGACTGATTCGGGAGAAAGACCCGTTACCGAGTATGGTAGATTTGATGGGTTGGTATATCTAGGATGCGAGTTAGGATTTGTTTGGCTAACATGGAATCCTACATGACATTTATGCCAACATTGAAAGAAATTTAAGCTAAACAAATTCGTCTGTGCTAATAGGATTATTGAAAACTAAATTTGTGTTTTTTCTGTCCAACATTAAAAAAATATGCTAATATATTTTTTAAATATATATATATAATTCTAGATTTTTTAGCATAATAAGCCTTAGTTCAATCTATTTATTATGTAACTTGAATCCATGTTATAAGTTAAAAAAAGAAAAAAAAAGCATAGATTAGTATATAATTATTTAAATAACTTAATTTGCATTTTATGGTCAAATCTAACATATACAAATCCTAGCATTAAGAAGTTGTGCGGAAAATGAGGTTTTGCAATGTGTTGATTAGACCAACGGATACAAATTTTTTTTTCTTCATTCATATGAAAATAATAATTTATACTCTTCTTTTATATGAACAGGTCCTTGACGTATGAGTTCATTATATAAATTCTTTATCATGAGCATGTCTTATAGTATTGTACTTGTATGGGAATTATCATCCAATCAATATATACTTGATTTATAATAATTTATAAAATTACACATTGATAATTGTATATATAATATAAGAAATATGACCATCTTTTAAAAAAATTGGATCAAATATGAGATTTTTCATTCGGTTTGAATTTTTATTGTATTACCCTTCAAAAATTTCAAACGAGAACAACTCATGATTTTCCAACCATGGTTCAGCTATTAATTTGTAGGATCAGGATCCCAACAACCTCTCTTGTAAACCTTTGAAGGGAAATAATAATAATGAAAAAACAAACAAAGCTAAACTTTAACATTTAAGGCAATAATGAATATTTACTGTTGTAAGATTTCGACATGAGGATCTTGGGGGGCAGTTGCATTGTAATAATATTTTACAGATATATGCCAAAATTGAATGATTATATCCAACCAAGAAATCACAATGAAAGAATCCAAAAAGTTCAAAATAAGCATATGGGGAGAGTAAAATTGCTTTGTTTCTTTACATGCCACGATAGCTAACAGCATCATATCATCTTCTTTAATTGCCTTTTTTGATTACAGGGGCAGGTGAACCTGAAGTTGGTACCTAGAACAAAAACATTTACTTCACATCTAACCAGAAAAACCAAAATCAAATCTACTAGCACTACTAATAATATCTATAATATTGCCCATTATCATTATTATTTTTTGAGCTCTGATTCTGATTCCGACTCTGGCAATTCCTACACAATTCTCTTCTTTCACCACCCAATTGCCAGCACAAACAAACCGGCCGAGTTAACACACTACCAAATAACTGGCAAGAAGAAACTGGTTGTTGTAGTCTTGACTCGGCAGAGTTGGCAGTCGTCTGAGTTGAAGCCAGCCCAATAGTTAAGTCCAAGTTAACATCTTGAGTTTGAGGACTCTTCCTCTTTTGCTGTTGTTCTTCATCAGTTGTCATGCTACTGCTTGTACAGTTATTCTCTTCAAGAGAAGTAGTGTCTCCTTTCTCGGGATTGAAACTTGGGTACTGGCTGCTATGAAAATCTTTGTTGTTGGTGGTGTTGTATTTGAAATCAAGCTGGCCTTTTAAGAGACTGATTTCGGCTAGTGATTGTGGTGGGGTGTTTTTAAAGTCCAACTGGGTGGTTTTGGTGGTGGCAGTAGCGGTGGTTGCAATGGTGGTGGCGATTTTCTCATTGAGAGGTGTGTGTGTTTGTGGATCAATGCCACGGCTAATTAGCTTTCTCTTGATGTGTGTGTTCCAGTAGTTCTTTATCTCATTATCTGTTCTTCCTGGTAATCTTCCAGCAATTAAAGACCATCTGCAAGTAATTAAAACTTTAGTTAATTAAAATGACTAATCAAGAAACCAGTCCATTTAATTAAAAGAAACGAGAAAGAAAGTTGTCTTTTTGCATGAAACCCAGAAAAGGATTTTTATTTTATTATTATTATTATTATTATTATTTTGGTTTGAAGGACTATTGAAGCTTACTTGTTGCCTAGCAAGCTATGCAGCTTAATAATAATCTCATCTTCTTCTTCAGTGAAATTCCCTCTTTTAAGATCAGGCCGCAGGTAGTTTATCCACCTCAATCTACAGCTCTTGCCGCATCTAAGCAATCCTATACAAACACAAAGAAAGCAAAGAATTTAGAAGCGCTAAAAGAGACACAAAGAGAGAAAAAACAAGATAATTAAGATAAAGAAGAAGAACTTGTTATTACTTACCAGCAGCCTTAGGGAGAGAACGCCAGCAGCCTTCACCATGGATCCTGATGTAGTCTATGAGGCGCTGGTCTTCCTCTTTAGTCCAGGCGCCTTTGTTGGTGTGTGCTTTTTCACAGCAAGGTGAGCGACCCATGAATAGCAGCAGTAGTATTAATCTTAGCGATCTTCTTTGAAATCAAAATATTGGGTTCTGGAAGGGATATTGAGAGAACCAAGAAAAAGTAGCTGGCTTTAGCTTAGCCAAATAACTTTTTTGGGTGTGAGTGTGTGTGTGTTTTGTGTTGTTTGGAGTGCCTTTTGTTCGGTTCTTTACACCCTTTTGAAACTAGATAACAAGTAGGAGGTAATAATTACTTGATTGAATGGACAGAGAACCAAGTTTTTGACGAGAAGAGATAGAGACAAAGAGAGAGTGAGGCGGGGGGCAAGGGAGATTTTGGTTGAAAATCGAGAGGAGTGCGGAAGAGAGAGGATTTATATGTAGAGAAGGGGAATAGGAAAGGAGAGAAACGAGGGAAGAGCCAATAGACTCGATCGATAAGAGGAGGGGGAGGTGGTGGGGTGGGATTTGACCAAGTTGGTGAGAAAGACAAGTGGTTACAGATAGGGGCTGGATTTGGTAGGTAGCTCTACTTTTACGTCAGATTTGGTCTCTCTTTTGTTTTGTTTTAGTGAGAAGAGCTCCTCTCTCTCTCTCTCTTCTCTCTCTCTCTTTCAAATCAACGAGCTGTACAATTCTAAACTAAAATGCTTCTACACACAAACACAAAAGCTATTCGTAGTTTATAGTATACCCATGTGCCCTTATATGTTTTCTGGCCTTGTGGGATTTCTGTGGACCGAGGTTTCCTTTTTCGCGCTCCTCTTCTATCTATGCTGAATTCAACTTTACTAATCAAGGACATCGAGTAAAGTATAAATTAGCATTTTTATTTTCAAAATTAATTAGTTTTTATTATTTAAAAACTAATTATTCAATCTCTTATATTAATCAATATATTTAATGAATATTATTTTATTTTATAAATTTTTCCTATCAATTCTTATGTGTTTTTTTTTAACTTTTTTTAAAATAAAAAATAAATTAAAATTAAAAAAAAAACAAAACTTGTTAAGCTATAAGAAAATTTACACTAATTAATTTTTGAATAAAAGAAAATAACTAATTCATTTTTCAAAATTAAAAGGACTAATTTATAATATAATCTCAAAAGCACCGAATGGAAGGGAATGATTGTGATAACGAGAAATTTTATAATATTTAAGGAATAACTAGTATATATGTGCATTAGGTATTTAATGGGCCTATTTTTTAAGAGAGAGATGGACACATAAAAAAAAATTACATCCGGACCAATCAAAAGTGATAAGAAGATTTTTATATTTATTCATTTTTTTTCCTCTCTTATTTCTCTCTTCTCTCTCGTATTTATTGCTCTTTATGAAATAATTTACACTAATCATTTCTAACTAAAAATTTTATAATACTCAAGAAGTAACTAGTATATATATACATTAGTTATTCAATAGTTCTACTTTTTAAAAGAGAGATAGACGTATAAAAAAAAAATACATCCGGACCTACCAAAAGCGATAAGAAGATTTTTATATTGACTTATTTTTTTTCCCTCTCTTATTTCTCCCTCCTCTCTCGTGTCTATCGCTCTTTATTAAGTAATTTACACTAATCATTTTTAACGAGAAATTTTATAATACTTAAAGAATAACTAATATATATATGCATTAGTTACTCAATGGGCCTATTTTTCAAAAGAAAGATGGACATATAAAAAAAAGAATTATATCCGGACCTACCAAAAGTAATAAGAAGATTTTTCTATTGATTCAATTTTTTTCCTTTCTTATTTCTCTCTCTTCTTTGTATTTATCGCTCTTTATGAAATAATTTACACTAATCATTTCTAACTAAAAATTTTATAATACTCAAGAAGTAATTAGTATACATGTACATTAGTTATTCAATGGGTTTACTTTTTAAGAAAGAGATAGACGTATATATATATAAAAAAAGAATTACATCCGGACCTACCAAAAGTGATAAGAAGATTTTTATATTGACTTGTTTTTTTTCCCTCTCTTATTTCTCCCTCCTCTCTCGTGTCTATCGCTCTTTATTAAGTAATTTACACTAATCATTTTTAGCGAAAAAATTTATAATACTCAAAGAATAATTAGTATACATGTATATTAGTTACTCAATGGGCCTACTTTTCAAGAGAGACGAGATATACACATAAAAAAAATTACATCCGGACCTACTAAAAGAGATGAAAAGATTTTTATATTGACTCGGTTTTCCCCCTATTATTTATCTCTCCTCTTTGTGTCTATCACTCTTTATGGAGTAATTTACAATAATCATTTCTAACGAGAAATTTTATAATACTCAATGAATAACTTATATACATGTACATTAGTTACTCAATTAGCCTACTTTTCAAGAAAGAGATAGACACATAAAAAAAAAAAAAACATTCGGATCTACTAAAAGTGATGAGAAGATTTCTATATTAAATCAATTTTTTCCCCTCTCTTATTTCTCTCCTCATCAATTTGCCATTCAAATACCAATAGCGATCATACTTGATACCTATATGCCTCAATAAAAAGGAAATGATGTTTTAATTATGAGATGATATTCTAAAAGACTACAAGAGTTAATAAGATATATAAACTCTTAAAAATTTATCTAAATCTTAAAATTTTAGTCTGTTTGATGAGATTTTAAAAATAATTTATACTATTTTTTTATAACATTTTTTTTAAAAATTATTTAGACTTGAAACTTTTCAAAAAACATGACATTTACTAAGATATGTAGATCGTTATATCCTCATCATAACTTAAAAGTTTAAGCTATTGGATGTAAATTTAGGAATTGTTTATATTAATTTCTAACACTTGTGTTTTTTAAAAAAGATTTTTGGACTTGAAGCTTGTACTACTTTGTGCTTAATTATAAAAATTTTGGACTTGAAAATTATATTATTTTGTATTTAATTATTTAATAAAAAAAATAAGAACGATGAAATTTAAATTTATGATCATTTAAATCGTAAAAAAATCTGATACTATATTAAAAACCTATCTCAGCTTGAAATTTTAAATTATTGAATGACGTTTCAATAATGATTCATTTTACTCTCAAATATAGAATTTTCACAATTTTCCTATTAAAGATTCTCTCTCATCTCTCCTAAATCTCCACCCCTCGTCATCATTCCATAAGCTCAGAGTCTGTATCAATGTCGATTCCTTTTTCCAGAAATTTCAAGTGAGAGCTTTTTTTTATATAATATTAATAATAAAATAAATTGACTTTACATTCCACTATTTTTTAATTTAACGAAAAGGTTTCATGTGATATTGAAAAAAATTATTACGTGTATTGAGCTTGAATTTGTCAAAATTATTTAATTATTTAATACCATACATCTTATAATATATTGATTGCTATAATAAATTTCTTCTGTAAAATAGATTTGATCTACAGTTACATCTAATAATTCCAAATGTATGTTGGTTTTGAGAGGCAAAACAAATAATTTTATACCTTGCTTGTAATAAATCAACTCTTTTAAGGTTCCATGGTAGAAAATCAATATTAATATTTGAATTAGACAACATCAACCAAATTAGACCACGTAAAGTCATTCTTCTGACCGCAGAGAGTTCGTAACTAGGGCAGAAGCGGTGCCTCTTCTAAAGTTTGCTGGAACAGGTACATTTACGCTGAAAGTGTCTCATCAAACAACACATATCAAACATTAATTAAATTCGGTTTGGGCCTCATCATCGCAAACCATCCATTACGCGTCTGGATGGGAACAGTTTGTGTGTTTAATAAATGTGTCATAGTCACCAAATTATTGAGGGCTTTTGCTTACCTGCGTTTCCCCTTCTTTTTTCTTTCTTTTTTTTTTTTTTTTTTGACAATGAGAAAACAAAACCTTTAGGAGGAGGAAAGACGATCCTCCTCGATATTGGACAAGCTCGCAGTCATGAGTCATAAAAGCCATTAGGGCCATGAATTGCATGTGCCATTTGTTACCTTCAAAATGGGTTTTAAAGGCTGAACTCAAAGTAGGCCTAGCTCTCTTCTCAGGTTAGATACTGATGAGTGATGCCAGCTGCGAAGGCAAGTTCTGCTTAGCTTTTTTCGGGGCCATGGCTCCTTAAACAAAACCCCCATTATGAAGAAGGCATTTCACATGGCGTGCGAAAAAAAGGGGATTATCCACTCTGCTTTGCAAGTGACGTCCATACGGAAATTCATGTGCTCAAACCCTCGAATATGCTCTTTTGCTTGCAATTCTTTCTTTCTTTTTTTTCCCCTCCCAGTTAGCAATAGCCAATCACTTTCGAGCAATTTGTTTGCCTCCTTCCAGTGGATCGTCCCTTCGTATTCTTTCTTATCAATGTCTAAAAAAAAGAAAAAACAAAGTGGGGTACAAAACATGTACAGATGAACAAAACTTTTGGCCTGTCTAAAAGAGGATTTCCAATGCTGATTACCAATATATTGCTGCCTGGTGTTCAGCTACGTACAAATGGTTGAAATGAAATATATAGAAGCTAAAACAATATGAGGCGTGAAGGGAAATGATAGGCTTAGAAGTGCAACAATATGACAGCTGAAAATCACATTAATCTTCTACGTACAAGCATGCCTGAAGAATGCTTTTATGTGACAATGGCAGTAAACATGGAACCATTAAAAAGAATATTAAACTATTAGAGCAGGTAGTCAAAGGCCAATGTTATTAAAGGAAAGAAATCAAGTAGAACAAAAATATAACACCTAAATGCCAGCCAGGGAGACACAGAATCGGAGAAGGCATTCTAACAAGAAAAGGTAAAACAAAATTACTGGCCTCAGTTGTTTGTGCCCTTGAACATATAGCGTGCTATCTTACCATTACAGGGAGACCCAGAATCGGAGAAGGCATTCCAACAAGAAAAGGTGAAACAAAATTACTGGACTCAGTTGCTTGTGCCCTTGAACATATAGTGCGCTATCTAACCATTACAGGAAATGATAAGCTTAGAAGTGCAACAATATGACAGCTGAAAATCACATTAATCTTCTACGTACAAGCTGCCTGAAGAATGCTTTTATGTGACAACGACATTAAACATGGAACCATTAAAAAGAATATTAAACTATTAGAGCAGATAGTCGAAGGCCAATGTTATTAAAGGAAAGAAATCAAGCAGAGCAAAAATATAACACCTAAAGGCCAGCCAAGGAGACACAGAATCGGAGATGGCATTCTAACAAGAAAAGGTAAAACAACATTACTGGCCTCAGTTGTTTGTGCCCTTGAACATATAGCGTGCTGTCTTACCATTACAGGGATTACTAGTTGAAGAAAAAGTAGTTAACAATAGGGAAAATATATATTTGAACTCCGGACCTACATAGATCTAAAACAAGCAAAACTTGTAGGACGGCTGTATTTCTTGTACCTAGATGTAATAGAATGAAGGAGCCGGGTGGAAGTAAAAAAAATTTCCCCCGTAGCCAGATCATTGCATTTTTTTTTATGTATAATGTTAACACCCCTATCACCACAAGGATTAATTAAGCAACTTTTCCATAAAAATCAACCTAAACTATGTTGAAATGGAAAGTTGTTCCAATTACAGCAATGACAATATACCAAAAGTAAAACCCTGCAATTTTGGGTACTGAGCAGAATGCTAATAGCATCATTGTTACAAAATATTTAAACATCTGGTTACTTTAGAATAAAACACAGCAAAAATTAAATGACTACAAACATTTGTTGTAAGATGCAAAGTTGTGAACACAAAAGAACCCAAAAAATCAATTATAGCGAAGATTGCTGTTTAAACAAGTTATAAATAACAATTAAGATCTCATCACTGACATGCAAATGAAATTTCAAAAACTACAAATATAACCAGTAATGATATAGTAATTATTTACAAATCAAGTGTATAATAAATAAATTAAGAATCACGGATATATCGTATCAATATTCCATCATTCCAGAATCAATGATTTCTTAATAGCAGAATCATTTATAAAAGGATCAATCCCATGTAACCTGATTTTAAACAAGCGTTGCCTCAATAACGCAACATGCAGATATGCAAGTCATGATCATCATCATCACATAACCCATAACCTAGAAGGAGAGTGAGTGTACCTCATTAACGGGCTTCTTGTCAAACATGTCCTATGGCTTCAGAATCCAAGCCTTTTAACCCGTTTCTATTGGAACATGGATGAGATTTGATTTTGTTTGCCCAGTCTTATGGATCCCTGCACTGTATCCTCTCCCTATATCTTCAAGAGTTAGTTGTAGTGCTGCCAGTCCAGTTTAAGGGAATGCAGCCATGTTGATCCATGGACTTGTGCATAATCTTCTATTGGTAGAAGAAAAAAGCTTCTAAAGCATCAATGAAACACTGAACATTCACTTATAGGGCCTGGTTATGGATGTTTTTGCTCTGCTTAATGCATTAAGATGAAGCGCACCTCCCCCTCTTCTTCTCAGATCATGCACGCACACAAAAATCAAAAGCAATAGCTAAGGCCTGAAGCTCAAATAGAGGGATTTTTGTGACAGCAGAAGTAGGAAGATGGTAATGGGATCAACCCAAAAATGACAAATCATTTAACAAAGGAGTTCATATGGTCTGACGAATATGAAAATCCAACCTAAAGCAACAACCTCTACCAGTCATCCTTGATCTCTAACCAGCCAGTGAAAGTCCAAACTGAAGCCATTTAGGATCAGATTTGGACTGCACAGGTTCATTTGCTTACTGAAGAATCCATTCCTTCCAGGCTGATAATTGCACAAACCACTAGGTGATCGTCCAATTCAAAAAGATCTAGATCTTAAGCAACAAGATCAATAAGTCTATATAAATCTAGAATATATTTGAGGCAATAGAACTTTCTAAGTTGGTTACTTTGTATGATGATAGATTGTAAGAACTCCGAGCTTGAAAAATTGTTAGTATCTACCCGTAATTCTTCTGATCAAACTCAACAGCCTCCAGAACCAGCTTCTACCCTCACATCAAATTATTAGTATCATCAATTACAAAAGGGGAACCTTGTAGGTAAAGAGACTGACATTTTAGGAAAAGAACTATATAATCTATAAGAGAAAGTAAATAGGCAGAGTATATCCTACAAGTTCAACACAATTGTGACAACTCATAAGCTGTAGTCTGTAAGATTGTATCCAATTTGTAACCATTGACAATGAATACAATTCAGTTGTAATCCAACTCTTACATATTTAACAGGCAAACTGTTTCCTTAGAAAATCCACTTAACCCTGCAATTATCATTCTTCTGAAAGGAATACATTCTGCTTTGTTTTCAATAATGGTCACATAAAACACACATTCTTGCTTAAACAAGTCTCATCATCCTATCACAAAAAAATAAGCCATAAGAGCTGGTGATTTTATTGGCATGACAGTGCTTTGCATTAATAAATTCAACATACAATAGACAAATAAGTGAAAAACATAACAAGCCAAAAACATACGACCATCACAATATCAAAATAACAAAATTATTGGTAAACGAAAATTCAAGTGAATAATAACAATCCATTTATTCTAGATAAAGATAATAACAAGGTAACCTAGACACATTTTCATGTCTCATGATCAAATAATTACCTTTAATCCCATTTTCCGATATCTGTGAAAAAATTAAATCCCAAAGTTCACTCATTTTCTTTTGTTAGATAAAAAAATCACATAAAAAATCTCACTTTTCTTTCTCATTAGATTGAGATTTTTCAGCTGCGGCAGCAGCTTCCTCTTCCTTTTCCTTCTCCAATTGCTTAATAGCCTCTTGTTCTGCAGCCTTCTCAGCCCTCAAAATAGGCTCATAATAATCAGCATGAGCCTCCATACACAACTTCAAAGCACTAGTAACTTCAAAGCAGTTCTCCACAATATCTTCTTTCTTTTCCTCCGCTTGTTTAATGCAATCTTCCCATGCTATAAATGCATCTTTGCAACCCCCTCCTTTCATAAACAAACAAAACCCACACTCTCCTTCGTCTCCATCCTCCTCTTCTTCTTGATTTTCACCCACGGGTGTGTTTGTGTGGTCTGTTTCTTCAAGGGTTTTTGTTGAAGTTAATGACTCTGTCGCTTCTTTTGATGCTTGATCGTCAAAAGAGGGTTTTGCTTCTTCTGGGTTTTTAGGATCCGAAGAGGACATGTTGGGTTTTGATCTTTGAGAATTTGCAAAGAGGAGCGCTTTTGCTTTTCTCGCTGAATTAGTTTGGAAGGAAAAAAAACTTCAATGGCTGCTTAAAACCTCCTAAAAACCCTTTGACCTCAAACAGGCGTGAGGGTCAACTGGGTTTATCAGAACGACTGTCGTTCAAGCCTTTCGAGACCGGTTTTAAAACGGTTTGTCGGTCGCTTTGGTTTGTGTGGTGTCGCCGTGGGTGTGGCTTGCCGACTTAGAATGAAGAGTTGAACTATATGTTGCTGTTCAATAAGGACTTGTAGCATGGGCCTTGCTTAGTATGGAGGGACTGGTAGTTTCTTAGCTGAGATGATAACCATTTGATTAATCCCTTACTAATTTGATCATAATTAATTTAATATTATATTATTTTAAAAAATATTTTTCATTAATCTTTTCATGTTATTTACTTCTTCTTTTTTTTCTTTTTCTATCTCTTAAACAAAAAAATATAATAAATTAAAAACAAACACAAAATGGATAAAAGAGACAAATTAATTAGTTCTTAAAACTAGATAGGCTATTTAATTCATTTTGCAAAAAATGGAAAGACTAATTTATAATTTACATTTCTTAATTAGGATGTTAACCACTTATTTTGAGTATGCTAAATTACAATTTTCATAGAATAAGATTGCCTTGTTTGGAGAAATTTTTAGAGAATTTTCTATGTAAAATTAAAGAGGTATGATATTTTATTTCAACTGTTTTTAGTTTATAGTGGCGAATTTCATCATTAAAGTTATATAACTATATTTACATATTGCATATTTTTCTTGTATCAAAAACTATATTTTAAATAATTAGAATGCTTTATAATTGAGTTTAGGTTTAAGAATTCAAGTTTAGTAGCACAAGAACTAGCATGAAATTTTCATGTTATTTTGATGATGCATAAAGTTTTTGCCCATTGGGATTTGTTGAGCTAGATATTTAGCTTCTTTCAAAGGATGAGAATAATGGTGATGGCATTCTCTTTGGTTTTGCATGTATGGGAAAAACAAATATATAAAAGTTAGTAGTGCTGAGAGATGTCCGACAAAACCATTCGATGGTTAAATCAATATTGTAAACATAATGAATGTATGTTTACAAAGAAAAATATATGTGTATTTTTAGGGAGAGATAGAGAGATGCTTCTCTAGGAAAATATTAGTGTTTTTTTGTCATACTCTTGTTGAACTTATGTTTAGAGTTGTTAGAGAAGAAATACCATCTGGATACCTTTTTTATTTAGAAAAGTCTTTTTTCTTTTCTCATCCTTATGTTGAATTTATTGTCCAAAGCTCTCTTTGTGGAGATTCACCATATATTGATAAAGCTCTCCTCTCAAGAGGCTTAAGGATAAAAAAAGCAAGTGAGTCGACCTTATATATAATTGACAATGTCTTTATAGTGTTTTCACTTGCAAGTAAACCTTTTTTTTTTTTTGTTCACATTTCCTGCTATCAAATCTATTATTAATTGCTTTCTTGATAGATATCCATCATATAGTGATAACACTCATTCTCTTATAATGGCTTATCAACATATAGGAATTGAAGAATTGACTACGAAACACAATAAGAATGGGGTAACTAGTTAGGGCTCGTTGGTTGACTTTGAAAACAATAATGAAGATTATTCTTCATATAGTTTGTAAATGGACAACCTCTTTACTTCTATTGCAAATGACATACAAGTTTTGAACTTTATTAATATGACGTGGAAAGTTTTAAATAGCTCTTTCATATTGAAAACTATCAATAATAACACTATCATATTGGCTTATGTACCTCTATTTTTGTCACATGATGTTAACTTTGATTATTGCAACGAAGTTACTTCGGTACCAAATACACGTTATTCTTTTTACTAACTACTAATTACTTTTATTATTGAATATGCATGATAGAATCAATATATTCGGAGAAAATATGTATGGAATTGATTAATGCAAACTAATTCCATTGATGTTGTTTTTATTTGAATTTTTAACTTTAATTAACTTGATAAAAATATGGTCTATATAAGATTGTAAAGTCAAAATTCGTTAGATTTTAAAATCAATAGAATCCATTGATAATTTTTTGAAAGTAAAAACATTCAAATGATAAAAAAAAAATTGTAAAGGCCCAAATAGAAAAAAGTAAAAGTACAAAGTTCGATTAGAAAAAAGTAAAATATTCATACATACATGGCACACATATCAATATATTTATTTGTCAATTTATTCACCACGTTAACATGTATTCAACAGAATCTAACATAAACACTTGATTTGAAAAGATTTTAAAATTCGCACATTCAAATAGAAAAAGAAAAGTTGAGACACTAAAAAAGAAACAATAAAAAACTTCATACACAAAATATGTAATAATCTCAAAAAATATTGATGTACACTAACACAATTTTAATTTACTCTAGCAATTAAATAATTATTTTACAAAAACTTAACTTCTGATTGTAACAATTTTTCAATATGAAGACAATTTTTAATTTTTTTATGAAAAATATCTAAAAATTAAACCGAATGGAAAATCAATGAATTTTTTTTTAAATAGTTGAAGATGCTTTTTTAATATTGTTTTCATTTTTTTTAAAAATATTTCTCTATAATTTTTTGTTTCATTTCACATTTTCTTTCTTAAAAATTCCTCCTATCAAATTTTGAATTCTAAATTCACCAAAATTTTGTTAAACGATACAATTTTGATTTTATTCTCGTAGATTTTTCATACTACTATTATCAAAAATATTAATTGTAGTTGACCATCGTTTTCTAGACTAGTAACTAATATTTTTTTGATTAAGGATAGGATTTTGATTTTTACTCTAGTAAACTTTTCATACTAAAATTATCAAATGCCAATTATCATTAATCATTGTTTTCTAGACTGGTAAGTAAATTAATTTTCTTACAACTTAAAACAAATATTGTCTTTAATAGTTAATAGTTAATAGTTTTATTAAAAAGACTTTTATTCAAACAATAAACTAGATTTTTACCTCTTGTAAATTAAGAATAAAATTAAAGATACCTTCTAATTATTTCTTGTGCATTGAATGTTATGATTATATTTTCATATTTTGTAAAAAAAAAAAAAAAATAGTAAGTTTGAACCTATAAAATGGCAAGCAAACTTATAATTTTAATCGAAAAAAATGATCTTTGTAGTGTTTTTACTATTTAGAAAAGTCTTTTTCTTTGCTCATTCTTATGTTAAATTTGTTGTCAAAAGCTTTGTTTATGGAGATCCACCATATTGTGATAAAATTTTCCTCTCAAGAGGCTTATAGAGAAAAAAGCAAATTAATTGACCATATATACGGTTGAGGTTGTCTTTATGGTGTTTTCATTTCCAAGTAAGCTTTTTGCTTTTGCTCATATCTCTCGCTATCAAATCTATAATTAATTGCTTTCTTGATGGAGATCTATCATATGGTGATAACACTCATTTTCTTATGGAGGCTTATCAATATATGGGAATTGAAGAATTGACTTCAAAACATAATGAGAGGGGGTAACTAGTTAGGGCTTGTTGGTTGACTTGGAAAAAAATAACGGAGATTTCTCTTTGTATACTTCTATTGCAAATGGCATAAAGATTATGAACTTTATCAATATGATGTGAAAAGTTTTAAATAGCTCTTTGATAATGAAAACTATTAATAATAACACTATCATATTGGCCTATTTACTTTTATTTTTGTAATGATGTTAACTTTGATTATTGCAATGAAGTTACTTTGGTACCAAATACACGTTATTCTTGTTACTAACTACTAATTACTTTTATTATTGAATATACATGCTAGTAGCAATTTATTCAAAGAAAATATGTATGGAGTTGATTAATGCAAACTAGTTCCGTTGATGTTGTTATTATTTTAATTAACTTGATAAAAATATGGTCTATATAAGATTGCAAAGTGGAAATTCGTTAGATTTTAAAATCAATAGAATCCATTGATAATTTTTTGAAAGTACAAACATTCAAATAGGAAAAAAATTATAAAAGCTCAAATAGAAAAAAGTAAAAGTGCAGACACTTGAATAGAAATAAAGTAAAATATTCATACATACATGGCACACATATCAATATATTTATTTGTCAATTTATTCACCATGTTAGCATGTATTCAACAAAATCTAACATAAACACTTGGTTTAAAAGGATTTAAAAATTCACACATTTAAATAGAAAAAAAAAAAGTCGAGACACTCAAATAAAAACAATAAAAATTTCATACATAAAATATGTAATAATATCTAAAAATATTGATGTATATTAACACAATTTTAATTTACTCGGAATTTTAAATGACTATTTTACAAAAAACTTAACTACTGATTGTAACAATTTTTTCAATATGAAGACAATTTTAATTTTTTTTAAGAAAAAGATCTAAAAATTAAACCGAATGAAACATCAATGATCAAATTTTTTATAAATAGTTGAAGATTTTTTTTATGTAGTTTTTTTTATAAATATTTCTCCAGAATTTTGGTTTCATTTCACATTTTCTTTCTTAAAGAGTTCCTCCTATAAAATTTTGAATTCTAAAGTCACCAAAATTTTGTCAAACAATAGAATTTTGATTTTATTCTTATAGATTTTTCATACTACGGTTATCAAAAATATAAATTGTAGTCGACCATTGTTTTCTAGACTAGTAACTAATATTTTTTTGATAAAGGATAGGATTTTGCTTTTTACTCTAGCAAACTTTTTATACTAAAATTATCAAAGGCAAATTATAGTTAATCATCATTTTCTAGACTGGTAAGTAAATTAATTTCCTTACAATTTAAAGCAAAATATCGTCATTAATAGTTAATAGTTAATAGTTTTATTAAAAAGACCTTTATTCAAACAATAACCTAGATTTTTACCCGTTGTAAATTGAGAATACAATTAAAGATACATTCTAATTATTTCTTATGCATTAAATGTTACGATTATATTTTCATATTTGTTTTTAAATAATAATAAGTATGAGACTGTAAAACGGCAAGCAAACTTATAATTTTAATCGAAAAAAAATGATCTTTATAGTGTTTTTACAAGTTGGAAAAGTCTTTTTCTTTGCTTATTCTTATGATTAATTTGTTTTCAAAAGCTTTGTTTATGGAGATCACCATATTGTGATAAAATTCTCCTCTCAAGAGGCTTATGGAGAAAAGCGCAAGTGAGCTGACCATATATACGGTTGAGGTTGTTTTTATGGTGTTTTCACTTGAAAATAAGCTTTTTTCTTTTACTCTTATGTCCAACAATCAAATCAGTAATAAATTGCCATCTTGATGGAGATCTATCATATAATGATAACACTCATTCTCTTATTGAGGCTTATTGACATATGGGAATTGAAGAATTGATTACAAAACACAATAAGAAGGGGATAAATAGCTAGGGCTCATTGGTTGACTTGGAAAACAATAATGGAGATTTTCTTCATATAGTTTGTAAATGGACAACCTCTATACTTCTATTGCAAATGGCATAAAGATTATGAACTTTATTAATATGATGCGGGAAGTTTTAAATAACTCTTTCATGATGAAAACTATTAATAATAACACTATCATATTGGCTTATTTACCTCTATTTTTGCCATGATGTTAACTTTGATTATTGCAATGAAGTTACTTGGGTACCAAATACATTATTCTTTTAACTAACTACTAATTACCTTTATTGTTGAATATATGTGCTAGAATCAATTTATTTAGAGAAAATATGTATGGAATTGATTAATGCAAACAAGTTCCATTGATGTTGTTATTATTTTAATTTTTAATTTTAATTAACTTGATAAAAATATGGTTTATATAAGATTGTAAAGTGGAAATTCGTTATCTTTTAAAATCAATAGAATCCATTGATACTTTTTTGAAATTACAAACATTCAAATAGAAAATTGCTTTTTGTAAATGCTCAAATAGAAAAAAGTAAAAGTATAGACTCTCGATTGAAAATAAAGTAAAATATTCATACATACATAGCACACATATTAATATATTTATTGGACAATTTATTCACCACGTTAGCATGTATTCAAAAGAATCTAACATAAACACCTGATTTGAAAAGATTTAAAAATTTGCACATTCAAATAGAAAAAAAAGTTGAGACACTCAAATAGAAACAATAAAAACCTTCATACACAAAATATGTAACAATATCTAAAAAAATTGATGTGTATTAACACAATTTTAATTTACTCTAGAAATTGAATAACTATATTACAAAAACTTAATTGCTGGCTGTAACAATTTTTTCAATATGAAGAAAATTTTTATTTTTTTATGAAAAATATCTAAAAATTAAACCGAATGAAACATCAATGATTGAATTTGTTTTTAAATAATTGGGGATTTTTTTATATTATTTTCTTTTTAAAAAATATTTCTCTGGAATTTTTGTTTCATTTCACATTTTCTTTTTTAAAAAGTTCCTCCTATCAAATTTTGAATTCTAAAGTCACCAAAATTTTGTCAAACAATAAAATTTTGATTCTTGAAGATTTTTCATCCTACGATTATCAAAAATATTAATTGTAGTCAACCATCGGTTTTTAGACTAGTAACTAATATTTTTTTTCATTAAGGATCGAATTTTGATTTTTACTATAACAAACTTTTCATACTAAAATTATCAAATGCAAATTATAGTTAACTATCGTTTTCTAGACTTGGTAAGCAAATTATAGTTAACTATCATTTTCTAGACTGGTAAGTAAATTAATTTCCTTACAATTTAAAATAAAATATCATCTTTAATAGTTAATAGCTAATAGTTTTATTAGAAAGACTTTTATTCAAACAATAACCTAGATTTGTATCCCTTGTAAATTTAGAATAAAATTAAAGACACATTCTAATTATTTCTTGTGCATTAAATGTTATGATTATATTTTCATAGTTTACATAAAAAAATTAATAGTAAGTCTAAGATTATAAATTGGCAAGAAAACTTATAATTTTAATCGAAACAAAAATGATCTTTATAGTGTTTTTACAAGTTGGAAAAGTCTTTTTTTTTTTTTTTTGCTCATTCTTATGTTGAATGTGTTGTCAAAAGCTTTTTTCATGGAGGTCCACCATATTGTGATAAAATTCTCCTCTCAAGAGGTTTAAGGAGAAAAAAACAAGTGAACCGACCATATATACGGTTGAGGTTGTCTATATGGTGTTTTCACTTGCAAGTAAGCTTTTCTTTTGCTCATATGTCCAGCTATCAAATCTGTAATTAATTATTTTCTTGATGGAGATCTATCATATGGCGATAACACTCATTCTCTTATGGAGGCTTATCACCATATGGGAATTGAAGAATTGACTACGAAACACAATGAGAAGGGGTAACTAGTTAGGGCTCATTGGTTGACTTGGAAAACAATAATGAAGATTTTTCTTCATATATTTTGTAAATGGACAACCTCTTCACTTCTATTGCAAATGGCATAAAGCTTATAAACTTTATTATATGTTGTGGGAATTTTTAAATAACTCTTCCATAGTGAAAACTACTAATAATAATGCTATCATATTGGCTTCTTTACCTACCTTTTTTGCCATGATGTTAACTTTGATTATTGCAATGAAGTTACTTCAATACCAAATACATGTTATTCTTTTAACTAACTACTAACTACTAATTATTTTATTATTGAATATACATGCTATAATCAATTTATTCAGAGAAAATATGTATGGAATTGATTGATGCGGACTAGATTAATTGATATTGTTATTATTTTAATTAACTTGATAAAAATATGGTCTATATAAGAAGGCAAAGTGAAAATTTGTTAGATTTTAAAATCAATATAATCCATTGATAAATTTTTGAAAGTACAAACATTCAAATAGGAAATTTTTTTTGTAGAGGATCAAATAGTAAAAAGTAAAAGTATAGACACTCGATTAGAAATCAATTAAAATATTTAGGCATACGTGGCACACATATCAATATATTTATTTTTCAATTTATTCACCATGTTAGCAAGTATTCAATGGAATCTAACATATACACTTGACTTGAAAAGATTTAAAAATTTGCACATTCAAGTAGAGAAAAAAAAGTTGAGCCACTCAAATATAAACAATAAAAAACGTCATACACAAAATATGTAATAATCTCTAAAAATATTGATGTATATTAACCCAATTTTAATTTACTCTAGCAATTAAATAACTATTTTACAAAAACTTAACTGCTGATTGTAACAATTTTTTCAATACGAAGACAATTTTTATTTATTTTTCATGAAAAATATCTAAAAATTAAACCAAATGAAACATCAATGATCAATTTTTTTTTAAAAAAAAAAATTGAAGATTTTTTATATTGTTCTCTTTTTTTAAAAAAAAAATTTCTCTAGAATTTTTGTTCCATTTCACATTTTCTTTCCTAAAAAATTCCTCCTATCAAATGTTGAATTCTAAAGTCACCAAATTTTTGTTAAACAATAGAATTTTGATTTTATTCTTGTAGATTTTTCATACTACGATTATCAAAAATATTAATTGTAGTCAACCATCGTTTTCTAGACTAGTAACTAATATTTTTTTGATTAAGGATAGGATTTTGATTTTTACTCTAGAAAACGTCTCATACTAAAATTATCAAATGCAAATTATTGTTAATCATCGTCTTCTAAACTGGTAAGCAAATTAATTTCCTTACAATTTGAAAAAAAATCATATTTAATAGTTAATAGTTAATAGTTTCATTTAAAAGACTTTTATTCAAATAATAACCTAGAGTTTTACCCCTTGTAAATTAAGAATAAAATTAAAGATACCTTCTAATTATTTCTTGTGCATTATATGTTAGGACTATATTTTCATATTTTGTAAAAAAAAAAAAAATTAATAGTAAGTCCGAGACTATAAAATGGCAAGCAAACTTATAATTTTAATCGGAGCAAAAATGATCTTTATAGTGTTTTTACTAGTTAAAAAAGTCTTTTTCTTTACTCATTCTTATGTTGAATTTGTTGTCAAAAGCTTTGTTTATGGAGATCCACCATATTGTGATAAAATTCTCCTCTCAAGAGGCTTATGGAGAAAAAGCAAGTGAACTGACCATATATATGGTTGAGGTTGTCTTTATGCTTGTTTTCAATAGCAAGTAAGCTTTTTTCTTTTGTTCATATGTCCTGCTATCAAATCTATAATTAATTGCTTTCTTGATGGAGATATCATATGGTGATAACACTCATTCTCTTACGAGAGGTTTAACGACATATGAGAATTGAACAATTGACTCGACACACATTGAGAAGGGGTAACTCGTTAAGGCTCATTGGTTGACTTGGAAAACAATAATGGGGATTTTTCTTCATATAGTTTGTAAATGGACAACCTCTTTACTTCAATTGCAAATGACATAAAGATTATGAACTTTATTAATATGATGTGGGAAGTTTTAAATAACTCTTTCATAGTGAAAGCTATCAATAATAACACTATCATATTGGCTTATTTACCTCTACTTTTGCCATGATGTTAACTTTGATTATTGCAATGAAGTTACTTCAGCATCAAATACACGCTATTCTTTTAACTAACTACTAGTTACTTTTATTATTGAATACAAATGCTAGAATCAATTTATTCGGAGAAAATATATATGGTTTTGATTGATGCGGACTAGTTACATTGATATTGTTATTGTTTTAATTTTTAATTTTAATGAACTTGATAAAAATATGGCTTATATAAGATTGCAAAGTGGAAATTCATTAGATTTTAAAATTAATAGAATCCATTGATAAAATTTTGAACGTGCAAACATTTAAATAGAAAAAAATAAAATTATAAGCACTCAAATAGAAAAAAAAAAGTACGGACACTCAATTAGAAATATAGTAAAATATTCATGCATACATGTTAGACATGTCAATATATTTACTTGTTTATTTATCCACCACATTAGCATGTATTTGACATAACTTAATATAAACACTTGATTTGAAAATTTTTAAAAATTAGCAAATTCAAATAGAAAAAAAAAGGTTGAGATACTCAAATGGAAACAATCAAAAACTTCATATTTTTTCAATACGAAGACAATTTTTAATTTTTTATGTAAAATATCTAAAAATTAAACCGAATGAAATATCAATGATCAAATTTTTTAAAAATAGTTGAAGATTTTTTTATATTGTTTTCTTTTTTAAAAAAATATTTCTCTAGAATTTTGTTTCATTTCACATTTTCTTTCGTCAAAAGTTCCACCTATCAAATTTTGAATTCTAAAGTCACCAAAATTTTCTTAAGCGATTGAATTTTTATTTTATTCTTGTAGATTTTTCATACTACGATTATCAAAATTATTAATTATAGTCGACCATTGTTTTCTAGACTAGTAACTAATATTTTTTTATAATTAAGGATAGGATTTTGATATTTACTCTAGTAAACTTTTCATACTAAAATTATCAAATGCAAATTATAGTTAATCATCGTGTTCAAGATTGGTAAGTAAATTAATTTCCTTACAATTTAAAACAAAATACTGTATTTAATAGTTAATAGTTTTATTAAAAAGACTTTTATTCAAACAATAACCTAGATTTTTGCCACTTGTAAATTAAGAATAAGATTAAAGATATCTTTTAATTATTTCTTGTGAATTAAATGTTATGATTATATTTTCATATTTTGTAAAATAAAAAATTAATATTAAGTCCGAGACTATGAAATGGCAAGCAAACTAATAATTTTAATCGAAACAAAAATGATCTTTATAATGTTTTTACAAGTTGGAAAAGTCTTTTTCTTTGCTCATTCTTATGTTGAATTTGTTGTCAAAAGCTTTGTTTATGGAGATTCACCATGTTATGATAAAATGCTCCTCTCAAGAGGCTTATGGAGCAAAAAGCAAGTGAAATGACCATATATACGGTTGAGGTTGTCTTTATAGTGTTTTCACTTGCAAGTAAGCTTTTTCTTTTTCTCATATGTCCTGCTATGAAATTAATAATTAATTGCTTTCTTGATCGAGATTTATCATATGGTGATAACACTCATTTGCTTATGGAGGCTTATCGACATATGGGAATTGAAGAATTGATTACAAAACACAATGAGAAGGGGGTAAGCTGGTTAGGGATCGTTGGTTGACTTGGAAAACAATAATGAAGATTTTTCTTCATATGGTTCATAAATGGACAACCTCTTTACTTCTATTGCAAATGGCGTAAAGATTATGAACTTTATTACTATGATTTGGGAAGTTTTAAATAACTCTTTCATAGTGAAAACTATTGATAATAACACTATCATATTGGCTTATTTACCTCCATTTTTTCCATGATGTTAACTTTGATTGTTGCAATGAAGTTACTTCAATACCGAATACACTTTATTCTTTTAACTAACTACTAATTACCTTTATTATTGAATATACATGCTAGAATCAATATATTCAGATGCAAACTAGTTTAATTGATATTGTTATTATTTTAATTTTTAATTTTAATTAACTTGATAAAAATATGGCCTATATAAGATTGCAAAGTGAAAATTCGTTAGATTTTAAAATCAATAGAATCCATTGATAAATTTTTGAAAGTACAAACATTCAAATAGGACAAAATTTTTGTAAAGACTCAAATAGAAAAAAAGTAAAAGTATAGACACTCGATTAGAAATAAAGTAAAATATTCATACATACGTGACACACGTATCAAAATATTTTTTTGTCATTTTATTCATCGCGTTAGCAGGTATTCAACAGAATCTAACATAAAAACTTAATTTGAAAAGATTTAAAAATTCACACATTCAAAGAGAGAAAAAAAGTTGAGACACTCAAATAGAAACAATAAAAAACTTCATACACAAAATATTTAATAATCTCTAAAAATATTGATGTATATTAACACAATTTTAATTTACTCTAGCAATTAAATAACTATTGTACAAAAACTTAATTGCTAATTGCAACAATTTTTTCAATATGAAGAAAATTTTTAATTTTTTTGAAAAACATGTAAAAATTAAACCAAATGAAACATCAATGATCAAAAAAATTTTAAATAGTTGAAGATGTTTTTTTATATTGTTTTATTTTTTAAAAAAATATTTCTCTAGAATTTTTATTTCATTTCACATTTTCTTTCTTAAAAGTTCCTCCTATCAAATTTTGAATTCTAAAGTCAATAAATTTTTTTTAAACAATATACTTTTTATTTTATTCTTGTAGATTTTTCATGCTACGATTATCAAAAATATTCATTGTAGTCGACCATTGTTTTTTAGACTAGTAACTAATTTGTTTTTTTTTTTAATTAAGGATAGGATTTTGATTTTTACTCTAGCAAACTTTTCATACTAAATTTATCAAATGAAAA